TTTTTTTTTTTTTTGAGTTGAAACGGTTAGGTGATGAAGAAAATTGCAAATACCCATCAATTTTTTCGTTCTAAATTTTACAATGTCTGAATCTGATATTTGATTTTGATGATTATGATTTGGAATGAAAACCTTCTAATTTGAATGGAAAAATCCTTTTTTTTTTCTTTTTTTTCAGAAAAGGACACAATCAGTGAAGGTATCTCTCCTGCTAGCATGGAAGCTCAGGGCATCACATAGGCTGGAGTGTGTATGGATGCTGAGAACATCACATGAGCAACTCCACAACAAAACACTATTGTCATCACCCACCCACATAAGTACTTTCCCACCAGTTTCCAGTTCACATTCTGCCATTGATCACCCAGTGAAATTATCAGAAGCAATGAAATATGCCAACTAGTCAATTATCTGAAGTTCCAAGGAGGGATCTTACCCTAACATCATCTGCCATCCCAACTCCTACTAACAATCCAATGAAAGCATGAATACTCGAAACAGGAAGTTTGATCCTACTGACCATGATCATTGCTGCCACGGTTGCCAACCGTGCCATCAGTCCTCTAGAGTTGCTGATGTATGTCAGCTTCCCACCAAGGCAGCTATCTCACTAGCAGATTGAATCAGCCTACATAACTCGGCCAAAATTCTTCATACCTTGATCCTACGTATGTTAATGATATTAGCTTGTTTAGCAGGAGAGTAAATTAACCCACGCAAAGGTGCATGATGCTAGAATTTGTGGATAGCTGAAGCAGTCTTCCATTTCATCATATTTTTCAGCTAAGACATGCCTGATTAGGGTGTGTCTGTCATACTCAATGACCTATTCCACAAAAAGTATGTGAAAATCAGTATCATATAGAGCCATTTCTTAACAGAACTTGTGTTTTTATAGAAAATCCAGAGACACTTACAGGGTGAATTGTGGATTTTGTGATATCCCTGATGAATTTAACTACATTTTCAAATGGTCTTGGTTTTTCCATCCTCTGACAGTTTCTTCTCTGGACCAACATGTTTGGACTAGACCCCAACACCTGGTTAAATGGTGTAGATTGGTCTTTGGTGGTAGCAGACTCTGGAACAGATTGAACCTGCTGCTCTGTATATTGCACGGTCTTTAGTGATTTCAAGCCTTGCTCTTAATCTTCATAGACTGTATCCAGAACTCTCATCTGCATGAAATCCCTCAAAATTTCTTCAACATCCTCCTCGTCCATTTTTAAGTCCCCATACTGCTCTTGAGGTTCTTGATTTTTCTCTAGACATTCGTTGTTTAATGTGTTTTCATTGGTAGTACTCTTATAAGTTTTGGCAGCATCAAGTTTCTTCATAGCCAAAGGAACCACCACAAACTGTACCAAAAACCAATTCAGGTTTTTAATCACATGATTCATAAATGGAGATAATTTTATGGGATTTCTCATGTTATTAATTTACCAAGGACAATATTGCTCCAATCAAGGTAGCCGCCACAACAGCCACTGTAGCAGCCAGTACATTCACATTTATAAAGTTCCCTAGGACCTCAGACATGATGAAGAGGCAGAGTAACCCTGAAGATATTCCATAGTCAATAGGGAGGAAAACAAGAACCCCTTTCTCTGCATTTTCATGGCGAAGAAGGGAAGTCTTCAAGACCACAAAGAACAAATACGCGATGACAAAGGCAACCAATGGAGCCACAGTCCATTCAAGAAATATCCAGAGCAATCCTCCACGATTAAAATTGTGATTTTCATTCTGCACCACAGTATATTTTGGGAACAATGCTGAAGTATCCAAATATTTGCTTGATTCCTTACTTTCGTTAGCTGCATATAGCTTGTTCGACAAGAGTAGTTGAAACCTTCAGCTAAAAGCATGGTTCCTAGCAGGGCACCCTGTGTTGATTGCTGAGATGATACCGGTAAGTCCAAGTATGTAGCAAGCACTAGCCATAATGCTGTCCATATCACGAAGGAAAGAATTATGACGATTGAAATGTTGTAATGGTATATGTCATAAAAAAGAAATGAACAAGGGTTTTAAAGTACTTAAAGTGACTAGAACAACTACCAAACCCCACATTAAGAAGCCTTCAGAGGGCTGACTCTGTTTCAGAAACTGCAAGAACGCAAAATTCTATAAGATATTGCCTCAAATTACCGCCTTTTGCTACAGAAATGGGGACTTGAAGGTGTCTTCCTTCACATTCACATACGTCAGAAAATAGGGTATTGATAGTCTTTTGCTTGCAAAGGCTGCTCCTATGAAATAGATTAAGCAAGCAACAATTGAGGCCTTCAAATGGGTTAATGTTCCTGACCCTACTGTTGTTGAGAACTGCAGTTTCAAAAGAAATCATTTTCGAGCCTGAAATCATTTCTAATTTCTCAGTTAAATAAAATAAAAACTAAACTGGGGCTGGAAGATTGTTGGCACCAGAAGAAAATGCCACGGCAATGGTAGCAAAGGCTTCAAACATGGTATCCATGCATAAGTTTGATTTCACTTTCCAGTACTCTGGTGGCTAGTTCAACTTCAATTTTCTCATATTTTGCTGACATGGTTTTTCTAATCTAGTCTCAATTCAGAGAAATCATTCTTTAAGGACAGTAGAATGGTTCAAATTTGCATTGGTTTAATCCCCAGGACAAGACTAATTTTCCTTTATTTTCTGTTCCGTTGTTCTTCTTGTTTGTACCTTGGCAATGATAATTCCATAATTTCTATTCTACTTTCCTTGATTTTTTAAAGGATAAAGATACGTGTGCACACTCCCCCATTGAAAAAAAAAAAAACCCAACCCCACCCGGTCCCTTTTTTTTTTTCTATGTGGGGTGCACACCCGGATCACCAATCAACATCCTTTTTTAAAATAAAATTCAAGTGATTGATTAATGACGGAGAAAGATTACATAAAAATTCAATGAATTGGACCGTATGGGCATAACAAAGAGAAACTAAATTTATAGCATTATTAATAGATATTTGGATTAATTATTTTTTAGTGGTTTAGTTAGAATTTTATTTTGAATTAAGTGAAAATTCAATATTATGTCTCATATAAGTAAAAAAAAATATTAATAAAATCTATCATAAATGTATTAGATCATTTTAAAAAAGTTTATACTATCCTTTACACAAATACACATTTAAACTTAATTCTTATTAATTAAGAAAACCCTATTTTAAAGTGGCGTATTTCACTTCTGATAGCCGCGAATCCCCACGCCCGGCATTGTGACTCATGACATGCGTTCGGTTAAAAATCAATAATATGGACCGCAAGTTCTAAGGCCTCCTGTTACAAAGCCTACCCTTGTCAACTCAATTTTGCTCTACTTTGCATCTTGTTGAAAAAAAAAAAAAAGAAAGAAAAAAAAAGGGGGGAAATCGAAGATAAATTTTTTCAATTCGTAGTTGCATATCACGAAACAAAAACATAGTTAAAAGTACTTCTCTCTTAATGAAATATGGGTGAGGTGGGTAGGGAATCTAGCCCATGTTAAAATAGGGTTTCTTTTTATTTTAATTAATAAAAACTTAAGTTTAAACACATATTTACATAGAGGATAATATAAACTTTTTAAAAATAACTTAAATTTAATTAATATTTTTTTCACTTATATAAGATGTAAAATTAGATTTTTACTTAATTTAAAACAAAATTCTAATCAAGTCACTAAAGAACAATTTTCCCTAAATATTTCACCCAAAATATATATGGGCAATTAGCAAATAGATCTAAAAGGAGGACTATCTTATGTCCAAAGCATATGGGTAAAAATATTAGTCAATAACTTCACTCTTAATTACGTTATAAACAATCAAAATAAGCCTTATAATTTATTCAAGTCCAACTAACTTTGTAACACACAATTTTCTTTCTACATGATAAACAAAACCCACTGAAAATACATCAAGAGAAATAGAGAAACTAATAAGAAAGAGAGAGAAACTGATAAGCAACAAATTTCACATTTATTTAAGCTCCTTGGCCACCAAGGAAAATAGAGGTGGCGGCGACTAGGGTTTAGAATCGGAGATTGTCGTTGTTTTCTTCGACGTTAGTTTTGGATTCATTGATGGTTTTCCTTGTTTATCAGGCAATCCGACGTGCAAAACGCTGAAAAGCACCCATAACATGGTGCAATAATTAAGAGACAAATAGAAGCATATCCAACAAGAAACTTGCATTTGTTGGAAAGCTCTATCTCATCTACCAAATATAATTGTTAATTACTTATACCAATTATCCTTGTCGTGATGATTTGAAACCTTTTAAACCCCTTTTTTAATTTTTCATTTAAGGAAAAAGAGAAACTCGTTGAATTGAAAATTGATCACATGTTGGAAATCATGATCCACGAACTTCATGTGGGTAATATATTATAGGTAGGGGTCATGACTCATGAACAAATGGTTTGAAAACCATCTGGAATCAAAGATTATGCATGGAAAATGCCAATGAAGGGAACAGAGACACAGAATAAAGGCATAAATCAAGCATGATGACCGGATGCATTTAATCATATATACTTGGCGTAAGCTTGTGTTTAAAAGAAGTTTGAAATGTTGTTGTAGGTTCATATGAGCGGCGTGATTCTCTCATACCATAAAGATGAGAGAATAAAAAGAAATATATTTATGGAGGCCAAAAATCAATTAAGATAATTTTTTAAGTCATAAATTTTAATATGACATTTAAAATATAAATATTAGTTTTATTTGAGTTCTCACAAATCACCAATCTCGTCACACTCACTTAGATTCTCATTAGCCGAGAAGAGCACTAATCTCCTACTTCCTTTCCTCTTGCTCTTCTTGAATTTGTGTTCCTTGGTTCTCTGATTCTCCTTTCTTTTTCTTTTTTCTTTTTTTGGTTTAATTGAAAACTCTCTATTCATTTTAAAATTTTTATATTTTTCTTCAAAATTTCTTTATATACATCTCCTCTATTTTTAGAAAGCTCATTAAGGCATGTTCATGTCTTATTAAACACAAAATACAAGTAAAACAACAATAGGACTTTTACATACACATATATAATATATGATTAAAATTTTGTATAAATATAATATATAAAATTTATGTATAAATGGATCATTCCTTTAATGAATAGATAAAATATATTCTTTTTTCTTTCTTTTGAGAAGAGAATAAAAAGTATTCCTAATATCATCATTCACTATTAATCTATAATTAGAATTTGATATGTTCCTGCAATTAGATTTTGTCTAAAACTCATCTTCTTCTCTTCTCCATTATTCCCTTTTTCTCTTCAAAAGCGATACCACCAAGATAACCCATATCATGGCATTACATTGAATGCTTTGAGCCCCAAGATTCTAAAAGATAATCATCCAAATATAAAGCTTACAGCTGGTGTGAATGCCCTGAAGTAGCCATCTTTGTTTAAAATTTCATCACACTTTTTATTCTTTTCTGGACCACCTTTTCCATTTTGCTATCTTGTGTTTGGAAGAGGAGAGAAAAAATTGTTGAAATGAAACCTATCCATTGCCAAACACTATTTCCTTTACTTTTAATTCAAACGTCTAAATCATATTGAATTTTTTTTCAACGCAATTAAAAGTATGTTATTTATATCGAAACTAAATATTTATATAAAATTACTTTCTAGAATGCTCCTTTTGAAAAAAATCAAATATTGAATTAACAAAGATGTAAGACATATATAGACGCTATTGAAAAACAAACCTTTCCCAAAGAGAAACTATTGACAGAAAAACTTCCCCCAAGTCTGCCTCCCAAAACCCCACACCACCACCTTCCCCAACCAACACAAGATATAAAAAGACAGCAGGCCAGTCAAACAAATACACCCACCATTCTTTGATTTTATGCTCCCATTCTTTTCAATTAGTCCATTTACATCCTCCTTAAACTCATTGGCTCCGTGACCAAATCCAAAAGGACGAAATTGACATTTGACCCTCCCCCCAAACCAAACCCAATGTACCAGGCAGGAACGGCCGCGCCAATCCCTTGTTGCCACGTCATCATCTGACTTCACCCATGCTGTCAGGACGTTGCCACATCACCAACCACTGTAAAAAAACGTTTTAAAGATAAATTTTTACATTAATTTTTTTTATAATTTTATGTATTATTTAATTATTAATTTTTATTATTTAATTAAAATTTATTTATTATATTATATATAATATTATTTAATAATATATAAAAAGAATAATAT